CCATTTTCATATATAAAAATAAAGTCAGCCCACATGCAGTGGGCTACATTTTCTAACAGGGACACTATGGGGAGACTATGGATATAGTTTACTAACATTCATCATTCTCCCAAGCAAGCATGAAGAACAAACCACAGCTGTTAACATCAAAGAGAGCCAAGCAAATAAAAAGGGAGATAAACAGGAATAAGTAAGAAAGACTTCCAGGTTTCTGGAGATATTTTTCCCTTGTAGGGAATCTAACTTCTTGGACCATTTAAGCTGTTTGCATTTTCATCCTTTTTAATACATCGTACATTAGTATCTTGACCGAGCTTATCAGCAGCTTGAGATGCAAGGCTCTACTATGTTACAATTTTGGCTTGTTTTTTTTTAAGAAAAAATGACATGTGGTAGGCTCAGTTGTGCAGTAGGTAAAGGGATAATAGGAAATATTGAAGAGAGGAAGACAAATTGAAGCCAAATAACCTGGCAGTGGCAAATGTAAGCATGTTCATGTTTCTCTGTTCATGTGATGTCAGCCTGTTGACTAGAATAGGATTTCAGATGGAAAGCCCACGTCTTATCTGTTTTAACTTGATAATAAATTGAAGACTTGTTATTTTATTTTCTTTGAAAGTCAGGAGTTTCAGAAGTGCTAAGAGATCCAGTATGACGAAAGGAGCTCTGTAAAGCCTCTCAACCTGCCCGAGGAGTACAGGTCATGCAAACCAAACACCATAACTGTAACCCATGCTTTTGGCTGAAGAAGGCAGTGTCTTCATTTTGCATTTGAGTGCAGTGTATTTTAAATATCTCCTTCTTTGGAAAACCTGATTTGATGTGGTGGGGAATTACAGTACATCTATTATTTTTTTATCTCTGTTAGTGCGAGTCAGATAGGTTCATATATGTCAGTGTGCTCGGTTAGAAAGATCTTTTGCCCAAGCTTTCAAGAAAGGTAGAGAGGATGCAGAAAGCAAATCATCATGAATAATAAAACAGGAGCTTCTTTCTGCAGGTTTCATGAAAAAGCAGGAGAGAACATGTCTTGTTGCATGCGCTTATGTTTTGTGGTCCCAAACGCTTTCGGCATTTTGATGGAGGGTGGATATAGAGCTTTTGTTCTCTGAGCCTCTGGCAGTTAGGAAATGTCAAGCAGAAAATGCACTTTGCCTGCAGGGGAAGAAGTCACCGAGGTGCCCTGGTGGTGCAGTATCTCTGCAGGCTTATTCACAACATGGGAAAGAGATGAACTCTGACAGCTGGGTCTTCCTGGCATGTCAGCAGCAGTGAAAGCACCACAGATGAGCCTCAAAGAATGATGTGAAATGGGGAAAACCAGTAGTTATATGCATATTCCCTTTCAGTCTCCTTTCAGCCTCTTTCTTGACTCCCTTGGCTAGCAAGAGGTGGGTAGGAATTAGCAAGGAAAGGGGAAGGAACTATGTTTCAAAGTCACAGGTTTCCCCATAATTATTGAAAGGCAGATTTCCATTTTCACTGCAGCCCATCTAAATTACTCAGTTACTGGTGGCTGAAAGTGTCATTTGAGAGTTCCCTTACACTACGAGAACAGAGTTAACAGTGCTATGTATAAATATGAATCCAAATAAAAATCAATTGTTCTTTTAAATCTGCAGAGTTTATTGACTATTATGTGCTATGCCTATTTTTATCACTTTTTCTGTATTTCATTCCTTTGCCCTAATTTACCACAGTAAATTATTATCTTTTCATAAGTATTCTAAAAGTTGCACTGTTTCCTGAGACAAATTAACAAGACAGTCAGGGTGACTTTTCAGGGTTGGTCCCCTATTATTGTGACTGGAGACCTGCAAAAGTAAACCTTAGCTTAGTTTAGCATTCTGTTGTGTGATTTGGGGATTAAAGACTATCAAAGAACCAAAAACTTTATGCTTAAAAAATTAAAAGAACTGGAAACTTTGAATGTGTTTGTTAAACAGCCCACGTTTTAAAAATGAATGCCTATAGTTAAGGGTCAAGACTGATCAAGATCTGTTAATACAGGAATAACCTTGTAGGAGATGAGCCCTGCAAATTGTGTTATCATTCATTGAGGCCGCAAGTACTCTGGAAACCAGGCCACCCTGATCTGCATATTTAATTATAGATACCTGCTCTAGCAACTAATTTTACACCTGGGACTACTTATGTGCACTTTTAAATGCATTAGTGATTTGCTGAATTTGGCCCCATATTTGAGAAACTCAGTTATTGTTCATCATTGTCTGTAAGGCTGGCCAGAAAACAAGAATTTTGTTTATCTGGAGGAAAAAAAAAAAAAGAGGTTGTGGAATTTCTTTTCAGCTTGGAGTAAACTAAGCTGTACAGATGCTCTTAGTGGAAAGTGAGAGAGGAAGAGGGAGGCAGCCTAAATAACCAACTTATTCTATAAGCTAAAATAACAAATGGCTGAGTAAATAGGGCAGCACTCACCTGGGATGTAGAATGGCATGGTTAAATCCCTTCTCCAGTTAATCACTACAGTAGAGAATGAGATCGTATTTTTTGATTTTCTGCTGAAGTTATTCTAGTAAGAAAATACAGTTAGCTATTCATCGAATCAGAGAAAGGGAATCCAACGTGTCTAGGGGGTCTGCTTCTCTTCCTTCTCTTGTTTCAATCAGAAATGATGCTGTGATCCTTAGGGAGCTGGCCATTAAAATATTTCCATACATTTCTGGGAAATGAACAATTTGTGATTAATAATATTTTCCTAATATTTTTGTTGATAGATTATTAACCACTCCTAATAGTTTCTTTTTTTCTCTATTTATTTAAAAGGGGAGAGAGAAAGGTGGCACCTCTTTAACCAAATTGTAATAAAAATGTGTAAAAAGTGTAACTTTGCTGCTGCTTTTCATTATCTATTTGTTCATCTGAAGAATGTAAGTTGTCCTACAAGATGCATCTGAAAGATGCTTAAGGGTTTTCTCTAGTTTTTTTTTCTTTTCTTCACTGAAGAAAGCTGAACCAAACTACTTTTTGAAGTGCTGTTATTGTTTAGGTAACTGCCACTAAAAACTGATGACAGGATGCGAGTTTCTAATTTTGGTGATGTCCCATTGTTTTCAGGGGAAGTTGGTTTTGAAGTAGCGATTGTAAGCACAGCAGGTGCTGGGATCATGTAGCAGCAGGCAGAACTATCATATGTTGGGACAAAAATACTCTTTTTTTTTCTTGGTAGATACAGGGATAATATTCCCATAACCATTTGACTGGCTAACCTGTATATTGTGTGGAGCTTCAGAATTCTTGAGAGATATATACTGCTACTTAATGTATAAGCTGCCATGATATGAGCGTGTTTTGGTTCTGCAGTATTTGGATAAGTATGCAGGTATATGATAGAGCAGAGGGAAGAAGCAACATCAAGCTGAAATGGATTTCTGAATCTTTGTCAGTCAGTCTGATATATTTGGGAATAAATTCTTATCTGATGGGAAAACTGACTCTCTTCTTCAAAAATACCTTTTGCTTCCATAGTACAGTAATTCATGATGACGGTAACACTAGCTGAAATAGGGATTACTGAGAACAGTACAGAAGATCTCTTGTGAAGTATTTCAGTCTTGCCATCAGAACAGAACTTTGGTGCTTCCGTGTAAATTGGCATCGTTCCATTGACTTCTAAGCACAGTGAAGTGGGTGGGTTTGGGTTGTGCACTTCTTGGACAGACATGCAGGTACTCAGCAGCAGCTGGACTCCCCGAGAGCCTAACTTCAATGGTATTTTGCAGATTCATATCGACGAGGGTGGTCTTGATATGCATGGGCTCTGGTTGCTTCTTCCTGCCCTTCCTCTTTTGTAATTGGTTTAGTGGTTTGAACAAAGTGCAGAGAGATAAATTTCTGGTAACAATACTGTGCTGACAATATTTTAATAACGTAATAAACTGTTCTTGCTTACCCTGTTCTGGTCCTCTGGTAGCTAGGGTTCATGTGCTTGCAAAAGCAAATGGATGCAAATTTAGGATATATATACATTTTTTCCTGTTTAAAATACCTTCTTTTTCCCAAAATTAAAAGGCAATACTGCATGGCACCCTACATTTTAAGAGTTGCATTGCTAAAGCTTTACGTTTCTTGTGAAAACATTAATGTGTATCTTATTCAGCTTGAAGGTAGATATGATAGAATGGGATGCAATCTTTGAAAGCAAAAGCAAAGGAAAAACTCCTTTCATTTTAATACTGTTTTCTATATGCTGATATTTTGTGGAATATGATCTTTCTGAAAAACAAAATAATCTTTTTCTGAAGTATTCATGTTTGCCCCAGGGTTGTCATCTCTGACAGAGATGATTTAACATCATCCATCCAAATAGAGTGAACACTGTTATATGGGAATGAAATAATTTCAGCCTACCCTGAAGTTCGGTGGCCAAATTATACTCGGGGCACCCGGGCACCCTTGAGAGCCCTCCAGCTCATCACTGCCATAAACAGGCTGGAGCACCCGACCTCTCAGGAATGACTTCATGTTAATAAAGTCTTTACAACTGAGCAGATTGTAAAATAATTCTAGTTTCTTGTAGATGTCAAAAAAATTTGAAAGTCCATCTTGAGGCACTGAGTAATGTGGGGTATGCCTCCAGGCTCACCCTAGATGTACAGAATCTATGGGCAGCTCTAGTTTGAAATAGTACAAAAGAGGCAGAAACAGGGATGAAAAGTTCTGAGTAGTTCAGATACCAAGCTGGTTTAGCTGAACAGACTTTCAGCTGGTTTATATTCCTTTTGTATTGGAATGATAGATGGCAATAGAGTTTTCGTGAAGGCACAGAATTTTCTTCTTGTCCCCTGTTGATACACTTGGGCAATGAAGTTTTCAATGCTTGGGGGTGCAGAGTGCTGAAGTAACATCTCAACCTAATGTTAAAGCTCCTCTTTTAAAAAAAAAATGTACCCTGTAATTTTTAGTTCTGTCTGCATACCTGCGTTGAAATAGTCACATTTGAGATGTATTTTCTTTCTTTTTCATTTTAACATTGACAGGTTGAGCCATTGATCCAGAAGGGCCATGAGAATCTGGTGCACCATATCCTGCTCTACCAGTGCAGCAGCAATTTGAATGACAGTGTGCTAGACTACGGGCATGAGTGTTACCACCCCAACATGCCAGACTCTTTTCTCACATGTGAGACAGTCATTTTCGCTTGGGCCATTGGAGGAGAGGTAGGATGAATGGCTGTCCAGCATAGTTCATCAATGGGGCTTTAGGAGGGTGTGTATTATAATGAAGCTTCTTCCTAGTATATTAGTGATTACTTAATCTGTCTGGTTTTAAGTGTACACAATCACAATCCGTAAATGCCTCACCAGTAAATCCTCAACTTCTTGTTGGCCTTTGAAGTATGAAATGCAATGATCATCCAGGGTGACAAGCTAAAAGTAATGAAAAGTATAGAGAGAGTTGATGCCTTAGGGGAAGAAAGATGGCTTGGGAGCATGGAAGTCTGTCACTGTATCAGCTTGTCCCATCTGATATGGAAATACACTGTCTCCAGCAATGACCAGTATCTGCTACCTGTGGAGAATGACAGAAAGAAAAGCAGTCTCTGTAGGTGACTGCATAAAAGACATGGAAGCAAGATTTTCCAAATGAAGTTAGATGTACATTTAATGCATTTTTTGCCTCACTAGGACCTGGTTACAGTGTCGCCTCATTCAGGCGTATTGTGCTGAAGTTTCCCTACCCTACCCTGCCCAAAGAGATGTCATTTCAGTGTAGGAGTGATCCTGTGTCAGTGCAGTGCCAGCACAAGGACCACTTTGCTCATGGCAATGGGGCATATCTACAGAAAACACAGTCTCGGATGCCATGTTAACCCCAGGCTCTGTTTTCAGCTTGTTTCATATGTTAATTTAGGCTGCAGTTAATGCTTTCAGCTGACATAAGGCAGCATTACTGCCAAAAGAATCCCCCCCCTCTTTACCCCCTTGATTCAGTGTGTGCCCACACAAACCATGGTGTGGGCACAGAGAGGGACTGGGGTGATGATAGTTTCTGGAGCCTTCATTTGCCGTCCTGCAGTCCAAAACCATCTTCGAGTGCTGCAGTGTGAGGAAGCCAGAGCTGCTACACGGACCCATCAAAAGAAGTTTAATCCACTATGAGCATTTTCCCTGATGTATGCTTTGTGCATTTTCGCCATCAGCTATGCTCTGACCTAGTATTTGTACTTTCAACTGTCTTAATCTAAGTGAAATAAAAAACTCATATAAATAAGTTATCATTTGACAACTACTATGGAGGCTTTTGCAAGGATGATCCTGTTGTTAAAGATCTATAGAGAGGAATCTGACAGATCTGGGTTACATCCAGGTTTACTGGAGTGCTTGCTTCACTTAACTTCAGTTTACCCTTACGTAGAATGGAGGTGATAATATTTATTACTGTATTCTATGACTAATTCATTAATGTTCATCAAGCATCAGAAAGTTGGGATCTCAAATTGAGCATTTCAAAAAGTTAGAATCTCAAATTGCGTATTAAAGTATTAGCTATATACTATAAAATGATGCAGAATAATTCATATAAAAGTGAATTTGGTAAATAAGTTCACTTAGGAGATACTGGTATTTCAGTTTGAATCAGGAGTGAGCTTTTGAAGTAAATCTCCTGGTTATCTCCACTTACCAAGCTCTGTTTATCATCATGAGTGGTTTGAGAACTTGCACAGCCCCCTTTGGGATGAAATTAAACTGAACATGCAGGGGTGAACCCAGCATCTCCCAACAATAAATGGGGTTCAGTACATGGGGTCTGACCAGAGCTTGTCCAAAGGAGCATCACCTGGGGACAGCGGGTCCAGCACAATCTGTGGCACTGTACAGAGCTATTTCTTTTGCACTACATGGCTTGCTAATGTAAATGTAGCCATGAAGATCATCTTTATGTACTTGTATACTTAGAATGCAGTGATTTGTGCAGGAAAAACAATCTAATTATGTACAACCTCAGTATTTCCTGGAAATTACTGCTTTTAGAAACTGGGAACATTTAAAATGTAGATTCACTTTTTCATAAGGGTTTATTGTCAGACTAACTACTTGATGATGCAATGTTTATACGTTTAAAATGGAATTTTCCTTTTCTGCTCAAGCAATAAATACAGGATAAATAATTGTAAGATCACAGGATAATGCAGGTTGGAAGGGACCTCAGGAAGTCCCTAGTCCAGCCTCCTACTCAAAGCAGGATCAGTGGTGAGGTCAGACCAGTTTGCTCAGGGCTTTATCCTCTAGCAAGCACAGGATCTACTGGTTTATATTTGACATAGTTATTTAGCGTATTGAGTATATAATAAATATATTATGCTACAATGCCATGTTCAGAAAGTTTTAAAAGAAGTTACCTTTGTAAATTTTATCATTAATATGATCGTATCATTGCAAAAAAAAGTCGATGTATTTATAAAAAGAAATTAACTCCTAACCATAGCGAAAATACCTTAACTCTGTATGCGTGTGTTGATTTCCAGGGCTTCACCTACCCTCCTCACGTTGGCTTATCCATTGGCACAGCAGCTGACCCTCAGTTCGTTCTTATGGAGGTGCATTATGACAATCCATCATACACAGAAGGTTTGTACCCTCACACTCTTTAAAACATGCAAGATTGGAAAATGTATTGGACTCCAGTGTTTCTTGTTGCATTGCATGGCAAACAGAGTAAATACAAAGCTGAGGCTTGTTTTTCCCTGGTCAATAGTTCCTGGTTCCCCGTGTTTTTCTCACTGCACTCAAAAGCTTAACCTGCAGTCAGTGGGAGATATACAGATATACAAAGAATTGTGGATGGGGTGAATACATCTCCTTTTATCACTACATTCTTCATGTTGTATCTCTCTCTCCTTTCCTTTTGCTGGGAAATCCAATGACTGAGAGCAAGCAGCACAGCACCCAGACTGTGAGACAGCAACACAGGGAATGAGCCTTTTATTAATTTTTTTTAGTATTTTTTTTAAGACATCTACCTGAACTGTGGACAGTTTCTGAAGGTGAAGTATAGACTCAGGTTGCTAGACCATTCACTGGGTTAAAGAAATTCATCTTAAAAGATAAGCTTTTAATTTATAATGGTGTATTTTTTAATCTTCTTTCTAAAATTCATTTCTATTTAGAAGAAGCGAAACAAAGAAACCAGGGAGCCCCAGAAACTCTAGGGAACTTTGAAGCTGACTTTTGGAAAGATACTTTTTGTTCTGAAACAAAAGTTCATTGAGCTACTGTACCTGAGAATATTCTGGTGATTGCTATATAGGAACTGAGTAAAATCCAGTGCAGCACAGTGTGCTTGCACTGGCCTTTCTTTACACACCCATGTGTTAAAATAAAATCCTCTGTGTGGGTTATGGTGTTCTGTCTTACTGTTATTCGCCCTCTGTGTTGTACTAGATGAACTATCTCAAAATTGTTTTATTTATTGACAGACTCCCTCCCTTCAGTGTGCACATCTGTATGGGATAGAGCAAACTTCATTTGCATCCTTGATGTTGCATGCTTTTCCATCAAATGTTACCTGAAAGCCTGAGAAGTCACATGCGGAAAAACTGTTTCTGAATTGGTTGTGTCCCTAAATTCACTATTATATTTTAATCGACTGCGCTGTACGATACCATTGTTTTTGGTTCAAGTGGCACATACAAAAACTGGGAATCAATAATGTTTCATTTTCTTTTTAAGCAATGGGGACAATTTTGCCTTGCTGGGAGAGTCCCGGGTGAACACAGGATCTCGCCAAAGACCTGTGAAAATTTGGAAAGCATAGGCAGAGCAGGGTGCCTGTAATCCAGGTCATGTTTCTCTCCTCCCTGACAAACTATATGGTATAACATTGTGCCAGGAGTGTGAGGGAGTAGACCTGGGCGCTCCATCTGCTTCAGGTGGGGGCACGTGAGTCCTCCTGACACAGCACCAAACCTGCAACCAGGTCACCTTCGTTTTCATGTTTTGGCACCTGCATTTTTCCCAGCTTGGGTCTTGTGGTTAAAGGCTGCATTGTTAGCCTCACATTGTGATCTGGGGTAATGTTTTCCTAACTGACTCAGATTTGGTAGTCAGCCTTGGCTCTTGGCTCCCAGTCAGACTCAAAAATGTTTGAACTGCTCCTAACATGGCTGGTTTTGAATGTTTCTGTTTCTAATATCCTTAATGTTCACTTTTCATTTGAAAGGTGGCATCTTTTGAGGTTGTTTATCAAAAACTCTTGGATATCATAAAAATTTCTGGCAGTTAGATGTTAGCAATAAGCCTGAAGGGGAAGTACCACAAGGGAAAAATTCAGGTTGATGAGACTGTACAAATAGCTTCAGAAAGGGAATGAGTATGGATTCCCATTTAAAGTTGGGATGTTGTGGGACAGTATATATCACCTGAAATGTCATGATTTGTATACAGCAGAATGCCTCATGGTTGATTACCACTCTTAATTGGCTATGCATAGTTCATACCCTTTGCTCCTTAATAATTACATACTACTCCGTCTTAGGTATTTTAGTGACTGGGTAACTTGGTCCCTGCTCTGTCTCTCCATCATTTGCTTATCTTAAAATAGCCTGCTGATTTCATATTGATGTCAAACTTGGTTTCAGGCACTGTTATTTCTGTTATGTTTTTTAGAAGACTAATATAGGTCACTAGGAAGCCTCTTACCTTCTCTACTTGGTATGTTTTTTGCATTTTTAATTTTCAAAATTGAAATTTGAAAAGGGACAACAAAGAAGGTAACAGATGAACTAACAGAATGTAGGCCTTGCGCAACACAAATTAATCTTTGGTTTTTGCGCATCTTGCCTAACAAAATGGCTAATAGAAGAGAAATAATTATAAGCATTTAGATGATGGAGGCAACATAAGTTATGAACAGATACAGAAATACACATATATGGCTAAACATGTAGGTGAACAAAATAGTTTCATATCATTTTGACTCTTAAAAACTCAACCTTTTCCCAGCAGGCTTTGGTTCTTTAAACTGCTTTTTGAAATCAAGAGAAGTCCTTGAGTGAGTGAAGCATTAAAATCCTCTGGAGTTCTCTTGGCTACTTTACTCAGGGTGCTGGTATTACCTTCAAGTTTGGGATTTAGGAGGCCAATTTTCATGTTTAGTTGATGCTCTCTTAATTGGAGAGATTGTAAAAAGCAATCCAAAACAAAGGAAAAATATAATTAATGCTAGGGCTTAAGGTGAAGGAATAGATAAATTCACAAGTAGAAGACAACACATGGCTTGAAAATTTTAAAGAAAAAAAACCCGATAACTTTAAGCTGTGCTTCCAATATTTCATTTGAAAATCATACATGGAACCTTTTGAGGTCTTATTATTTCCTTGTATTGTTTGCTCTGCCTGTGATCTAACTTCTTTTCTCTGAGGTCTGTGTTGGATAACTTAGTGGAAGGGACACAAGGGCTATAGACAGCACATATTTTTCATTCACATCTGAACGCCACAGATATCAAGATACCATGTTTAACAACCCTCCTGTGGGCTGCCCCTATTTATTACTTCCTGCGTATGGTTTGACTCATTTCCAGATTATTGCGGTTGATTACTTGATTTTCGTGTAGAAAACTTAGGACAAGCCTTGAAAAATGTGAAACAATTGGATTTTTTTTTCTTTTTTTTTCTTTAAAATACTGATTTATACCCACGGCTGACTGTGTTCTTTTGTTGCAGGCTTGATAGATAACTCTGGTCTGAGGCTAATTTATACTCCAGTTTTAAGGAAATATGATGCTGGGGTTATAGAAGCTGGTCTTTGGGTCAGCCTCTTCCACAATATCCCACCAGGCATGCCTGAATTTGTGTCAGAGGGTCACTGCACACTGGAATGTCTGGAAGAGGTATGTCTCCTGCCTGAACCCATTGGTTTTTATTCTTAGAAATAGTTTTGGACAGCCACTTTAACTTCTTGGGCAGATTGATAGTTACCAGTTAAAGATATGCAAGGAAAGGCATCTGCTACATGTTGCCCTCCAGAATGTTGAGTCTTTTTGATCTTGGTATTTAGGGTGCTCAGTATTCAGACTGCTTTACTGATATGAGTAATACTTGCAATGCTTTAATTGTGTGTTCAACATATAAGCATACATTGCTTTCCATGGCAAAGCTATTAATAGCCTGGAACAGCTAGCCCAGAAAAAATGTTGAGAGAGGTTAATTAAGACCTGTGCATGTGCAAAAGGCTCCTAACAGTGAAGTGCAAGCCTGAAAAGTATTCTTAGACCAACCACAGAAACTAAAGACCTGAACAGGTTTTGTTGTATGGCCCAAAGTACAAAATTATGCTTTCATTAAAGACTTGGTTACATCAAGATAATTTAAGTATCTCTACAGACAATGGAAGCATTGTCTAAAATCCATGATTAATGTACCACGGGAGATTCTCATATACATTGTCATTTATAGACAAAGCTTGAGTCAATGCTTGTTATGATGTGGTTTAGAGTGAAAAGCCAATTAGATATGGAATTTAGATTTCTTCTTGGTGATGTTAAATGTTGCATATTGTTACAGCATTTTTCAGCCTAAAAACACTTGAATAATCTATTATTGTGAGACTGTACTGTAGCTGAAAGGTATTGCGATAACAGATTATTTCTAGTTTGGGCTCTGAACAAGGATCAAAGTTTGGCATACCAGAAGTTTGGATCCGTAGATCTCAGCTAGAATGGGATTGATGTCAGATTTGTGTCAGTTTGGGAAAGTTAATTTTAAAATGTCTTTGACCTGGAAAAAAGCTTCAGATGTAAACTTACAGTATTTCACTACCAGTTTACTTGAAGATGGGAAGTAGAGCGTATTATAATTACAGCCTCTTAATTTAAAGTCCTTGTTTTGGCACAATATTGCTAACATCGTTCATAACTGCATAGAAATTCTTTTTCACGTAAGCATCCACATTCATCGGTATTGACCATTAACACTAAAATAATGTGCAGGTTCTAGTATAATTCCCGTGAAAGTCTTAAGCTATTGAGAATTATTGGCAGTTTGGTTGCTTTTCATAAAAGGTGTGTGCATTAGGAATAAAAAGACATTTTTTAATAAAAAAAAAAAAAAATCACAGAAAAAGACCTAGCCTTTTTTGCATATAAAACCTTAATTTCACATACGGATTTGTTTTGGCACCAGACTGAATTTTGCTGTAAACTGAGGGAATGTAAAATGCATTTATTAATATATTTTCACTCCGTTTGTACATTGCATCACATTATGTTACATTGCATCTGGGCACAGATGGTGTTGGTTTCCTCTGGCCAGGCTCTAGGTGCTGAGAGACCTGCTGGGATTCATGTGTTTGCGGTACTTCTTCATGCTCATCTTGCTGGCAGAGCTATCAGGATGCGCCACTTCCACAATGGCGAGGAGCAGAAGCTGCTTGCTTATGACGATGAGTTTGACTTCAACTTCCAGGAGTTTCAGTATCTGAAAGAAGAACGAACCATCTTGCCAGTATGACACTCTTAATTCTTTCCCTGAAAGTCCTTAAGAGATCATGTGCCTAACATTTACTCACATTTAGGATTAATTTTGCTACAGAATTTCTTATCATAGAATCATAGAATTCTTGAATGTTTTGTTAATTTTTCCACTTATCGCAGAGTGACTAATATATTAAAGTTGCAGTCTCAGGAGTGTCCACCCAATTCAATACAGAACTGGCTTGGCCCATCAATTCAAGCTATTCTTTGGGTGTGTTTGGTGTCCACAGTTACTTGATTTGAACTTCACTATCATAAATGTTTGAACAAAGCAGATTATAAAATCACATGTGTGCCTGGCTGTGCATCCAGCCAGCTGAAGAATGGGAATGCCACCACATGGCTTTATGGAGCAGTTGGAACCAAGTAGCACATCCTATTTGCACACAGGAAGTATCCAGCCTTGCAAATATGTCTGCAAATCAGCCAAATCTTGTTTCACATTTTTATTTGTTGTTGGGAGTAAAACTCCATGCTCATATTCCACGTGAGGTTTCACTAGTAAACAAAACTCTTTGGAAGAAGAAATCATGCTATTCTATCTTCTGTTCTTGTGAGAATAATGTGATATAACTTTTAGAAAAATCCCAGCTACAATTATATTGTAAAGCAGTAGCTATCCATAGGTACTGCATGAAAAGAGTCAGTATTTTTCTGGATGAGTCGCTCATTTAAAAATTATCCACTCATCTTTTGCTAGTTCCAGCCGGCATCTGTTTTTGAAGCTTTGGCCTCAGGACAGGAAGTTTAGTGCTGCAAGGGTTGGGTGCTCCAGATCTGGCCAGCAGAGCAGCTGGGGATGTGCTTGTCCTGGTGCATGTGAACAAGCCCGTTGTTACTTGATGGAATTGGTCAGATGCAGAATATCAAACAACTGGATTTTGTTTATGATTGGAGCCAGTAAGGGAAAGGGAGATGAAAAGATCATCGCAATGACTGAACTTCAAGTATGGTCAGGACCCCCATGGTTTAAACTTCCAGGCTTCTCTTCAAGTCCCTTTCTCTCTTACGGCTCTTCTCCCACACTGGGAGACTTTGATATTTGTTCTTTAAAGGCAAGAATCTAAAATGCTAACTTTCTAATTTAATTTCTACAGCAAAACCTGGATGTTCAGGTGCTCTTTGAAGTCCAACAGCCTGTACTCCACAGGGACTTCAAAGACAAACTGGTGTTACCTCCTCCAGGAAAGAAGTGTTGAAGGGTTTAGGAAGAGGGCTGGCAGAAGATGACAGGCTTGCAAAGAAAGCCTGTAAAATTTTTAGGAAAATCCATGCAGATTATAGAGAAAGGCCTCTTAAAATTCAAGAACAAAAGGGAGTAGACAGCAGAAAGACTGAAAGAGGTATTTGATAGTATCAGTAACTTAAAAAAGACTGCTTGAGAAGAAGCTGGAATTCTATCTCTGAAGTGAGCCCTTTTCATGCCTTTTATTGTTTTCATCTTATGCAAAACTACCTGTACAGCTTTACGTATATCATCTGGTGTAATTCAGACCACAGTCTAATCAATTAACTAATATTAAAAATTTTCATATAAGTTCTTGTTATTCTCTCCTTCTGCAAGCTCTCCCAAAGGTGTATCCTTCTTTCTGCTTGTGGAGTCCAGGTTATTTTTTTTCTTCACATACTGGCACTCTCTTCTGAATTTGGAAACAAAAGATCTAGTCTCACAGAAGGAACACTCTTAGTGAATGTTACCCAGTCCATAAGCCACGAGAACCAGGGACCTCACTGGTGGGAACCAGCATATTCCCACTGGGAGCACCGAAGCTGTGCCAGTTTACGCTGCTTCAGAAACCTCTGTCTCCATTTAGCCAACGCAAGGCTGACGCACCTTCTTCCAGCAGCCCAGAGTACAGTTAGTGCTAGCATTGATCTGGCAATGAGACAGCCTGCAGGAAGGGAGAAATTCTCAACCTTTGAAGGGTGATCTGATTTTTTCAGGGAATATTAATACAATGAGTGATAAGGGAAGATGATGATACGAAAAAGTGAACCAAAGCAAATAAATCTCTGGCATCCCTGTGATAAGAAGTTGCCCCAAATATCAGATTTTTAATGTCTGGCTATGTTTTTCAATATTTTAATTTCCACTTGATTATCATGGTGATTTTGAGATTTGTATTTGATTAGGTACAGGGAATAAAGGTAGTACGAAACTGTTAGATCAGTTTAAGACAGCAAAAAGTTAATTGTATGTATTTGAGAAGGTAAGTATTCAGCCTTTCCCATACATATCTGTCAATGTAGTTAAGTCTTTGCCTGCCACTGCCACTCCTCTACTCCCAGGCTTGGCAGATAAATAGTTGTTATTGTGATGTGGAAAACCTTCTTCTCCTCATTTGGCAAGTATTTCTGTTGAAGTTGGCAGGATAAATTAGCCTGGGGAAAGCTATCCAAAGTAGCACTGGATGAATTTTGGAGCAAGAATCATGTGTATACATCATCTACATATAAAATTTTCCTGAAAATAGGATTATAACTGGGCACCTCCATTGCTATTTAAAAAAGAAAGACAAGACTTTTATTAAGACTCCGTTTAAATCCACGGGGGATCCCTGAGGATCTGGGATAATATGAATGCTAAGTGCCAAGGCCTTATCATATGCCAATTACTTAATCCTTTGCTCTTTCAAAAAGTCGTATCTGCTCCTCTGATCTTTATTTCTTAAGTGTTTGCTGTCATCTGTGGTTACCTGAAGCTGGTGTTGATAAACTTCAGAACTGTGAACTTCCTAAATCTTGTGTTTCAGGGGGATAATTTAATCACAGAATGTCACTACAGTACTGTGGACCGAATTCGCATGACATGGGTAAGAAAAGTTTTAATGGATCAAAATAAGTACACAGATAATATTGGGGACTAAAATCTTTTTCATAAAATGCTATTAAAAAGTGTGAACTTACTTGCTAATGCCTGTGTGCATGTAATTACATATTATCTTTCCTCTCATAGATTCTTAGGTTTAAAAGTCATCAGGACTATTATGATCATAGTCTGATCTCTTGCATAAGGCATTCGTATGACTAGTTTATAAAAATAAGCAAGGCAGCTCATAAAAGACCTTTAAAAATCAGAATTTGCTAGTATAAGGAGTGCTTTCTTCATAACATGTATTAACATGCAAGTTCTGCATATTCTAATGAATTATTTTTATAAACTTGCTAGGCATTTTTCCCCAAATTTGTAATTACCAGTTCTTATGTATTGATTTTTACTTATGCCGTGACCAAGATGGGACCACTTGCTTTTCTGCCTAACATAGAATCCAGGCAGCATGCAGGTCCTTTGGGCTGGGAGGAGGAGGAGGCTGGGCACCGGGAGCCTCTGCACATTACCTTTCTTTCACGCGGTGGGTTTTCCAGCGGCAGGGACCCTCCGGAAGAGCTGCTGCCGCGGGGCGGTGCAGGAGGAGCCCGCGCCGCACCTGTGCGCCTTTGCCAAAGGCACGAGGAGTGGCTGTGCCACAGCCCCGAGTGCGTGTGCGTGGCAGCGGACAAGGCAGGGCCACGGCCGGGGGTGAGCGTCCCCTTCGGCCTGCAGCGCGTGGTCTCCCAGATGCAGCTTTTTGGGTTGGCAGAGGCCAGGCACTGGCCATTGCCACGTGGCCACTGCGTTTTGGAGGTGAAGCAAATTTGGTTGTTGGGACATGAGCCGGACTGTGCCAGCTGGCTACGAAACCAGAGAGTGATGCCAGACCCACTATGTTTATGGGAGGGATGTAGCTGCCGGCACCCAGCCTTCGCCAGGGGCTGATTCCGCTTCCTCAGGAGGGGCTGGATCCAGACCTCTGGGAGGTGAGACCTGAGGGGTTTCTGTTTGGCAGGGAAGACCTGTTCGCGGCATCCAGAGAGCACAGGGATACCTCTCCCTGAATCCTCCCCTTGCGTGTAGGCGCATGCAGTAGGTATATAAAGAAAAGCAAAAGAGTGAGAATGAAGGCTTTTGTGTTTTCATCCTATTTTCCTGTGTGGGGACACCACTAGGTCTTGGCCCTTGGTTCATGTGTTTTGTCTTCTCCATTCCTATTCCTGTGGTTCTGTGAGATTTGTGTAACTGTTCCCACATGGGATTTAGGACTGTGCAGCTCATAATCCTGTCCATATTTACCAAGATTAATTCTAAATTAGTTGTTCGCCCCATGGCTCTCAACGTCTGTTTCTTCTGCTAGCTAAAAATCTTACTCTAATTAATTATTTTACAGTTAGTGCTCATTTGTTCTTGAGTCAATGTTATCTGTTAACTTAAATAACACTTTTCTTTCTTACTCTTTCCCTGCATATGTACTTACAAGGCGAGTCCACAGAGATACATATTCCATCCTGGCCTCTGTTTTACTAGACAAAGCTCATGTAATTTCTTATTAAACAGACTAATTATCCTACCAGATTTTTTTCTACATCTGCTCCAGTTTGAAGCCCTTTTTCTGAAACATGGTAGATATAAGTACCTTGGAGACAACTGAAAATAAACCTGAACTTCTCAGATAGTACCCTTCAACATAATAGGAGTCTTATTTTATTGATGTTCTTTCTGACATCTTTTAAACTTGGGAGCTATTGCTTGAGCTTGCAGTGTATTTTGTAATTAATTATGTAATAACTTCTTGCTACTTGATAACCTAACGTGGAAGATAAACCTGTTGAATTGGGCCTCCTGATATACGTTTCATTAGCATATAAATGCTAATCAGTGTTTTTTATCTGTGGGATTCCAATGCTATCTTGATTAAAAGAAAAATCCCATTTTCAGGGTGGTCTGAGCACCAGGAATGAAATGTGCCTGTCGTATCTGCTCTATTACCCAAGAATCAACCTCACCCGATGTGCAAGTATTCCAGATATAATGGAACAGCTCCAGTTCATTGGTGTTAAGGAAATCTATAGACCAGTCAGGCAAGTAAAATGTTTATGAACACGTGTAGCACCTCTATGTCTGTCTGTGGGATTATAGGGTCATTTTCATACGACTTTTATTTCTTTCTGGTAGTGCAACATGTTGCAGGGTCACTCGTGCTACTTCTTTTTGGTCAATATGCTGTGCTGCTACTTATTTCTCCCACCGAATTTTTTTGCTTTTTTTTTTTTTAAATAAAAAAGCAGTTTCTTCTGTTAAAGAAATAATATTACTCACAGCAGGTTTTTTTTTTCACCACAACCTTCTGTAAAAAGACTATGTATCAATGGCATATCAATGTTTCAAATCTATCAATTTATTAAAATATATCAGTGTTTCACATATATAGAGATACTTTTGAAAAAGGAGTTTGGGAGCATGGGTAGATTTGTTGTCAGTAATTCTGCTGAAGTCACTCACTGCAACAAGATCCTAGAACTGCTGCTCACATATAGACCTTAACGCTGTCTTGGTGACACTGACAAAAATGCGCAAAGGGGGAAGAAGTTGTACATTAGAAAGGAAGTTGAGGGATTGAGAGAATATTAAATTGTTCATAGTAAAAGATAAATGGTAGATAAGCACCATGATGGAGAGAAATGAGAGAATGGAGTCTTTGAAAGAATAATAGGTCAGAGGATGACATGCAAGGTAAGTAGAGAGAAAAACATGGAACCAGTAGTGGGAATCTAGCCAAGAGGAAGAAAAGAGCTTTTTAGGTGAACTGTTAGCTGCAGGGGCTTGCAATTCTGTGCAAAGACACTCTCCTAAGTCTTGGACTCCTACTGTTCAGAGAAGCAGGACACTGCACATTTTTGAGATATAAATCCATGTCAGAAAGAAAACCCCCTAGCTCATTCATCAGTTTTTCTTCCTAATAAAAATAATCCATACGTATCTGAATGTTGGCCTACTGCTCAGCTCAAAAGGGGTAATATCGTTTTGTTGTAGGATCTGTCTACTTCAGTGCTCCACAAACATTAAATATCCCCTCTGTGAATGGCGAGGGTAGGGGCTGTTATCATTTAGGCAAATCGGGATCTATAATAACTACCATGAAGAACCATGCAATTCAGCTGGCATCTGACTGCTGGGGTAAACCACAGGCTGGTGAATTTTAAACAAGGTATTAGAGTTTTCCAGTAAGTCAGCAGAAGTCTTGCTGTCCTTCATCATGAGAATCCTTGGCAAGAACAAAATGCTTCCCAGTGTGTTGTTGGATCTGGCTTTTCTTCCCTTTAATGTCAGTGGGATGACCTGTACAGCGATAATGCTCACTAAGAGCAAGACTGATTTCCAGGATCCAACATAAAATTTAAATTTTGGTAGGAGGTGGGAGGAAGCCCACTATAGACAGGGTAAATGTGTGTGAATATATAAAAATCAATAAATAGCATATTTCACTTTTTAAGTGTTCCTTATAGTGATTAAAATTAAAGCATCTCAATAGCAGATCAGCAGTGGAAGTGATTGTAAACAGAGTGAGAATAGTCTAAAGAGGAAAGTTCCCAAATGAATGAAATGCAGAAAAATAATCAAACAATAGAAAGTAGAATGCACTATTAGTGGTGAAAGTTAAATTACATGTGTATTGTTAGTTGCACTAAACTAAGGTAATAGTAAGATTTTTAAATAAAATGGATAGGTTAATAGTGTGTCATCACATTTACATTTTAAAAGTTGTCTTTCCATATACAGTTTATCTTAACAAAGCCATATAAAACTATTATTGCAAAGTAAACTGATGTACAGGCTTACTGGTCTTAGTTCTGAAATTTATATCCAAGACAGAAGAGCTTGAAGAAAGTCACAATGCAATCAATGTCTACTTCATTTTCCACACTATTTCTATTTACAATCTTTTTTAATACAGAGAGAACACAGTTTCTAAATCAGTCCTAGCTAAAAGAGTCTTTCTGAGCTTAGAAAGAAAATATTCTAACAAATGTATGCTCTCTTGAGTGTTCATTCATGATAACTGTACTTAAGGAAAAAATGCACATTTGGCCTGGGGAAATAAAGATGTTTTGAATAGAGTAAGTATGCAGACTGTCTGCCGCAAATGGAATAGTAATTAGAAGAAGAGATTATTAATGCCTCTAGTATTTATGACCTAATCCACAATTCTTGTTTCATTAAGCTCTGTCAGCCTAAGGATATGTGACCTGATACTCATCTCTCGTGTCAGTCTTACACTGGAATTGCTTCACTGACTCCTCTAAAGTCTCTCGACTTACACATGAAGGCAAACTGGAAGCAGGATCAAGGCACTGTGGCTCACTTTAAAACTCCTTTAAAACTCTTTTTTTTTCCCCCAGCCTAGTGGCACAAACAGTGGTATAAATCATGAGGTGCTGAGATGAAAGCGATTGGGCTATAATAGTGCAAAATAGGTGCTTGACTAAAATTATGTCCTCCGTGCCTAGATGTTGAGTAGAGCAGAACTTTGGCATAGGCAGCACTTTACCCAAAGCAAGTGGGAGACAGTCTACCGCAAGCTAACACAGATCTGTCTAAAGTGCTTTGAAAAGGTAACTCATGCTCTCCAACCAAAGTATTAATCAGGTTACTTAGATAAAGTTTTAGCTACTTTCATTCTTCCACTAGCTGTACTGGACTTTCTGTTTTTAAAAACTTGATCCATCCACCATGTTGTTTCCATTCATACCCATATAGTCAAACAAGGAGAAAGCAAAAACAATGGAAAAAGTTTTCTTTAGCTGGGTTTTTGGGTTGGTATTTTTTGTTGTTTTGTTTTGTTTTCCTTCATGGTTTTTGTTGCGTTTTCTGTACTAAATGAAAGACAAGAAATCTCATTCCTTCCCTTTCCACATTTTTGGCTAGTGGGAAATGGGATTGGACCCACTTGTTCATGGGGAGGAGTCCCCAGATGCAGGCAAACAGTCAGCTGTCTCATAGTAACGCAACAGGTCTCTATCCCACCCCTGGCCAAAAGTCCCCTTGCAGCCAGCATGTAGCATGTGGCAATGTCCACACCACCAGTTATTCTCATTTGATCTTTTGGCACTGCTCCCAGCCAATGCATGTTAGAGCAGCTCCTGTGCTAGGCTGAGTTTTGACCTATTATCCCAGTTATGAGCAGAGCTTGGCAGCGCCATCTGGAAGCAGCTTTCTAATGGCAAATGTTTCTTTGCAACACTGCCTGCCAAGCCTAGTAGAGGGTGTGGCTTTTGTTTTGGTTTGGATTTTGAAAAGTTACAACACAAGATCTGCTTTGTATTGCCTGTGTATTCAGTTTGTAGATCAGAGAACAGCAATGTAATTCTTTTTCTTAACTCAAAATCCTTCATTTCTAAAAGCATCTGGCAGCAAGTCCTAAACTGCTGACAAACTTTCGTAAGCCTGTTAAAATCAATGAAACTGCATCAGTTTTCAGTAGCAGAGAACTTACTTAGCTAAGAATGTGAGTTAGGCATAATATACATTATTAATAGTACATTTGTTTTTCAGAGTAGAGTCTTCAAAAGCTTTTCCTTATCAGTTCCAACTTGATGGTATTTAGCTATTTTTTTTAAATCTTTATCTATTTATTTTTCTTTAGGACTTGGCCTTTCATTATCAAGAGTCCTAAGCAGTATAAAAACCTGTCTTTTATGGATGCAATGAACAAATTCAAATGGTCCAGATCGGAGGGTCTCTCCTATAATGAACTTGTGCTTAAACTACCAGTGAATGTGAGATGTTCAAAAACAGACAATGCAGAATGGTCGGTAAGTCTAAGTGCTGAAAAGGAGGCAACAATGCCATGAAATAAATGTGATTTACTGTGCTTCATTGCCAATGAGTAAGTACTTGGTTATATGTCTTCAGACTGTTTACGTGGCTATATTACATTTACATACAATAACAAATGATGAGAATGTTTTATCAATGCTTTCACCTAACTCGAGTTCTAGAAATATTTAAAAAGAATAGAAAAGTTGGAGCTTGGATCAGTAATAGGAATATGGGGTCTTTCAGTGTGTCTGAGATTGATTAGAGAGTAACCCTATGTGTCCAGATTAGGTGGCCAAGTTAGAAAGCTGTTTTCCCTTGGCTACCTCCATTGTCAAGGACTTATGTTAGGGTATTGTGATGGATGATTCAAAATCCCTAAATCAGATTTCTTCTCTGAGTCACTCTGTAGGGGGAAGCTTATTGACTGCACAAGGAAGCCTTGAATCTCGCTTAACTCAGGCATGTAGACTACCTGAAGTTATATAAGTACTCTTCCAATATCTCTTGGTTTTTTGTTGGTCTTGTGTCTTCAAGATGTCTATAGTATTGGGCCAAAAAAAGTGCATTTGGATCAGCTCTTCTCTTTGTGCACCTTCAGAAGATTTTATCTTATATAGTTTTCCTGTCCCAATTCTCTTGATGAAAAAAACTGTAAGAAAAAAATAATTCCACAGTAAGTTGTTATTTATTCTAAATGTCTACTGGTATTTCAGCAGGACTGCTGGGAAAAGCTGTCATCTTTAGTGTTGGTGTGTGTTTATAAAGAACTACTAGTGCATGTAGTATCATTCCTGAAGGAGATGCTGAAAAATAGATATTGCTTCTTGAATTCCTTTACAGGGTCCAAATTCAAGACTTCATTTTACTTTTTTGAGGTTTTCTGCTCAGAAGGGTACATTGTCTCATTGTACTGGCTTATATCCTACTGTGATTTTAAGCCAGCCTAACAGAGCTGATACAAGATACTACTGGTGAAATACTTCCTAGGAAAGGACCTTTGCCTCATTCTTCTCACCCCACAAAACAGCCCACACTGCCTTGTAGCGGGTCACACAGTGCTTTCAGGTGGTGGAGAAATTGCCCTTCTTGCAGCAGCATTCTTGGGTCTTTCCAACATTGATCAGACTGTTCTGCCTATGGGATGTCAATGAAATACTGAGTGCTATAAGTAATCAAAGAGGTTCTGGTTTTTTTCTAATATTTGTCCCACTGCAGACCTTCTGTGACAAGTAGTTATTCACATTACATGTGACTATTCACCAGTTTTAGTTAAACTTCTTGACCTTTGCAACTCCTGGCCAGTAGCAGCTGCTTAGCCACTCTTTCACTGACTGTTTGTCCAAGGACAAGTTAAGATGATGAAAAGCACACAGAAATTTTATTAAGAGGGCTTAGGCTTTTTTCTTTCTCTCCTTTTTTTTTTTTTTTTTTTAGGTACACTTTCTGGAAAATGCTGTTCCCCTTTATCTTACAGGATGAAGGAACAATACTTATGACTTAAAGAACGTAGTCAAAGAGTGAGCTCACTGGAACTGGGAGTGCTTAGTTCTTCCTTTTAATCATAGTTTCCTATTTCAAATGACTAGGGCATATTCATCAAAGCTAAGATTAGGACTCTTTCCTTTCCCTTCCCTTATTAGTGATACTACATTAAATTGGCCATCCTCATCAAAATCAAGAACAGATTTAACCTGAATGACCAAACAATCAGTGAGTTGTTACAAGAAGGAAAAAACTTGAAGCAGAGGAAGCGAGTTGAAAATACTTTCATCCTTCTGTAGGGATGGTCCCTTGATCAGTTTTAGCTTTGTGTTGTTTGCTAAGATTAAGTCAATATTTAGATTTTTTTTTTTCCTGCAGTGCAGGATAATTGCAACATGGAAAAAAAAAAAAAATCAAAGTAAGCACATGCTGTGCACGTGGGCATTCAAAAATGTTTGTGCCCAGGAGCTTGCTTTTCTTTAACATGTAGGGAGTACATTTAGGAAAAGCATAGCCAAGCAGTGTACCCAGATCTCTCTAATTTCACATCAAAACTATGACAGGCAGGTACTTATGTCTAACTCCATAAAAATTGCACTGAGTTCTAAGGGAAGAGTAAAAAATGCTAAATATATAGAAATATGACACTGCTGTGGGTGACCTTGCTTGAGCAAGGACATTGGACCAGATTACCTCAAGAGATCCCTTCCAACCTCAACCATTCTCTGATTCCATGAAATAATGTGTACACAATTAACTGCCTTGTGCATGCAAGTGTAAGCCCTGTATGTACAAATGAATACATTCAAGTACCATCCAATATCCCTACAGCACTGCAACACTGTAAACTTCCATTTTTATCTGCCAGAAAGATGAAAACAAAACCCAAAATCCCACAAAGCAAAATAAGGTCGTACAAATCAACAAACAAAAGCCTAACCTTGCTTTACTGGAGAGGATGCCAGTGTGTATGGCTGTTCCCGAGCTGAGAACAACGGCTGTGCACACTGGCTGATCATTTGGCGTGCAATACATTTTTTTACTAAGCCTGATGTCTTCACAGTAAGAGTCACAACCCCAGTACAAAACTAACAATAGATTCTCATGCAAGCTGCCAACTAGTTAAAGAACAAAATACAGATTTCTAATCTTATGTGACAAAACTCTAATCATTTTTATTATTTTAATTGCAGATCCAAGGCATGACAGCTTTACCCCCTGAAATAGAGAGACCGTACAAGACAGAACCAGTAATATGCAGCTCATCTTCCTGTTTACATTGCAGTTTATTCCTCACCCTGTTGTTTGTTGTATGTGTCACAGCCAGTACCATAGGAAACATTGGGCCCTTTGTATAATAATTTTTATTAATTTGTGTTCTCTATGCCATGCAAGTTCTGATGTGTTTGCACTGTTGCTATTGTAGATTTATTTTTTTACATATTAATAAACTAAATTTGCCAGTTCAAAATAAAATGTGTACTTCCTCTGAAAACTGTGGGTGTTTTGGTTTTCAGTGTAAAGTATGTATAAAACACAGTAGGTACACTGGCACATTGCATATTGAAATCTTTTCCCATACCATTTTGTTATACTTTGTCCTGGCTCTTTCACATGGTGTTTTCAAAATCAGCTATGTATATGGGTAAAATTAATAAACTAAAAGCAACTTAGTTAACCACATTCAATCTGGTGTGTGCTTTATTATTTTGTCTTGGTTCTTGACATCTGCAGGTTATGGAATTCTTGCTGTATGGACAGGCCTTGCGAACATGTATTTGGGCATCTCTGACTGACACGTGCCATAAAGCTACAGGAAGGATTCATTCAGGAAGGACATTTCTGGGAGCAACACACTGCAAACCATCTCAGCTCCTGCGAAGAAGCAGGTGCTGTAGGTGTCAAAGGGATGAAAACACAGGCAGAACCCCAAATCTCCCCATAGCAACTCCTGTACAAGTCCTTTGACTTGGCAGGAATTTTTCTTCCTCAGACCCTGGTAATTCAGTGTGTTTCTTTTGTCTTCAGGTATTTGTACAGCAAGTAGAGCTTTGGCAAGGGCCAGGCACACCTTTGCTAGATTTGATCTGGATAGCACTAGCAATGAAGATCTGTCTTGCAGCCAGGCTCTGGCATGTACAGGGAAACAGAGTACGAGCCTGCCAGGAGCTATTGTTAGCACATGCCGAGCATCATGATAGGCCAAACTGTTGATTAAGAGGTTATTTTTGCATCTCGTGTACAATTTTTTATTTATTTGGAAACCTGCAGCTTTTTTACTGAAATCGTGTTGGGCAGGGAAGATTCCCCAAATATACCTATCTATTGCTCCCCAATGAAATTATGCAATGCAGTAGAAAAGGACTTTGAACATCCAAAAAACCGCTTACTTCTGTAGCTACGCTGCAGTTACAATAAACTATAATTTTTCCACAGTGCTGCATAAACTTTACTGGAATACAGCTGTAAAAATAAGTTGTTTTGGATGTTGAGAGTCCTTCCCTGACCACTGCAGCACCTGCACTACAACTAACCTCTGTAAACTTAGTTATATACAGACTTTGTTACGTATGTTTTATGTCGCTGAGCACTCTTGTGCAGTGTGGTGAGTCCAGAGCATATCAAGAACCTGACTGAGCTGAGATGAACTGGTTTTCTGAACGTTTTTGTTCTTTGACCGTTAACAACTGCTACCTGTCTGTGCAGTTGCATCTCTTAATGAGGGCAGGCTGTTCTGATGCAAAGAAATACCACATAAGAAGAAAAATAAGGAGAGGATTTTGGAACTGTCTTCTCTGTATTTGAGAAGTGAGACTGAAAGCATCACAAAGCAGGTAAGGCTCCTTTGTGGGTAGCCAAAATGACAACGTGTGTGCTAATCGACACAGAAGAGAGGCACTGAAGCAGCTAATGCCCAAGTAGAGATGAGAGAATTAAGTATAGATTAATCTTCTAGGAGCTAAAACAATCTCATTACAAAATATATGCATAAAGAAAGTTTAAAATAAGCTGGGAAGACAGAGGTTCACAGTGCCTACTAAATCCTCCTGAGGCTCCAGTCTGCACTTGGGTGGGTAAGAGCAGCTCCTACCAAATCCTGGGAAATTTCTTCACCATTGATGGTCAGCTGCTTGCTCTAAATATACCTGGACAGTGGTATGTTCTGCCATGCTTCCTACTGTTGCTGGGTAAGGTAAGGAAAAGGTGTATGCCAAATAGCATGGTTTTTGTTTTTTTTTCTGGTCAAAACCCTGAAGTTTCAATAAAGAAATGTTAACTGTTTAGGTGTCTCCTTCCTCCCAGCAGCAGAACTATGCTTTTCTGTTTAATGTTCCTGAATAGAACTGGTTGAAAAATGAAAAACAAATAACAGTCATGATGAATTATAGGCAGGAAAAAAATGTTCTGAGTGACTATTTGTACAGATCTGTTCTGAATGTGAAAAGCTAGGGCAACCTCCAGACGAGATATCACAGAGTCCAGGGTGCATCAATGGTAAAAGCAGTCAGCGGGAGCCTTGGCCTTTCTTACACTTAAACCCATCCCTATAGTGGGCATGTTTGAACAGCTTTTTGTCAGGGAACAAGGAGAAAAATAATAGGGAATGAAATGAGAAAAGAGCATTTGTGTTGGACAGGGGAGCCCTTCCACATGCAATGCTGTCTCTTGTTTGCCAATAGATGTGGGCTGCTGGCATCAGTCCTATGTTGACTTGGTTTGCAACAAAGATAAAGCAGATCCAGGGTTATTTTCCATTCACTTGGCTGTTCTCTGATTTGATGCATTTTCTTATCTATGGGGATTTCCTTTCCATGGCACCCGTCCTAGGAACATGTGAACAGATGGGTGTTTGTTGTTGCCATCCAGAATGCCATGAGATGATGTAAAGCAAAGCCAGCTCAGAAAGGATGTCTGAGAGACATAACTGCCAGTATATCAGGAAGACCTGCCATATACACTAAAAGCTCATTTTTGTTTAACCTGCAACTGTTTTATGGCTTTTGGAGGAATGGAAAGGAAAATTTTGTTTCACAGGTAAATAAAAAGAGACTGGTGATACAGTTCTGGGATGCTTCCAACTAAAAGGATCCAAACCAAATGTGAGCACATTACATTATTAAAGAAACTTAAGAAAACAAATAAAAGAGGAAAGGCTGAAATTGTCAAAAATTCAAAGCAAGGATAAAGGTGAGAAATTCCATGAGCTAACTCTATGCCACTGAAGAAAACACAGGTAAGGCAAGCAGATACCTAGTCACACTGCACATGAAAAAGCTCTCAGGCACAGATTTCTGTGGTTTTCTTTCAATATTGTGCTATGCTAAAGCATATACTCTTGCATTGTATTGCTACCCAAAGCTTTCATAATAGTTACAGTTAAAAGTATATACAGTAGATACTGTTTTCAAGGAAACCATGGTTGAGATGTTGAGTATACACTGGAAAAATCAATGAGTTAGGGATGTTGAGCACAAAATGATTAAATGTAATACCTCACTTTTAACAATTTTGTCATTCAAAGCTTTTCTGTGTGAAGAAATGTGTTAAGAGTTCCCAGTGAGAAGCTAAATGTATAAATATTTTAGTGGGATAAGGAGCTGCACTGTGCAATAGCAGTTAAAAAATCCATTCTCCTTAAATCAGATTCCCCACACAATGGTCCAGCTGCCTGTCACTTGTAGACTATCTATAGATATACTATTAATACCATTTAATCCCTTTTTGTTTTGTTATTTCTTCATTATGAAGCTTTCATTTAATAAACACATGGCCCTCCTCAAATATTCACGGTATCTAAATCAACAAATCATTTGGGATTTTGCCTGTGTCTCGTAAAACCAGGACGCAGGAAGGCTGAGAAGGGAGCATTGGAGTTTATGTAGCTCTTCAATTTGCCCCTATAGAGGAGGGTGTGATTCTCTGTTCGCATATACCATCCACAAGACCCATCGTACGACCCCGTGTCAGCCCATCTGTGCCCGCATCGCAGTGACATCTGGGCTGGGTGCAGGTGTGGACCGATGCAAGGGTGAGCAGCAGAGCTGCAGCCAGTGGGAGTGCAACTGTGCTGGGCTTAAGCCCTTTCACGGGGGGGTCTTGCTTCGTAACCGGACTGGCTGGTTAAAAAGAGGAACTGTGTGGCCATAGTATGCCAGTTGCTGAAGAGGCACAAATTTAATAAATAAAACCTAGCAGAAACACTGGCCTCATTCTCCTCTTTCCTCCCTTCATGCAGAAAGTGGTCTATTTTTAGACCAATTATTACTTCTGGAATGTTTAAGAATTTCCACTCCTTCCGCTCTCTGCCTCTTATTTCTGATTTTTGGTACATCCCTGCCTTTGCATGAGAGAGAGAGATAACAAACTTATCCCAAACCTTTTAGCAGAGGGGAAAGCTGGGAGAAGAAAATGACAGCTGTGACACGGAGAGCTCTTCTGGGCTGCTTCCTCCATCCCCACAGAGGTTTCCTTGGGCCATGGGTACCCCGGGAGCATCGGACCCCCAGAGGCCAGCGTCCTGCGGGTGCACCGAGCCTGGCACAAGGCTGACCAAAGGGGTGGGGGCAGCTGTGCTGTCTCCCTTCTTCAGCCCCTGCAAAGTGCTTGCGGTGCAGATGCCTGTCCCTGGCTACCAAAACCTAAAGCCTGGTGCTTAGTGCACTCACCTACTATAGAGGTATGAACATGATTTATGTTTGTACATCAAAACTAGAAAAGTAGAGCGTTTTCCCAGATTGAGTTTTTAGTTTTGTGGTAACTCCAGTTTGCAAGAAAACTGTAAGATAGCAGGCAAACATAAGATGATTTAAGATGTCTAAAAACATGACATAGTCTGCTTCTGAGAGCTGGCCATTTTAGGATGAGTTATTGCATCCTGCTCAAAAGAAGACACACTAAAATTCAGTACAAGTCCTTCCAAACCACTGAGCAAGAATCACACCCATCGCCACTTGAACAATCTCACATAATCAGATGTGGCTCTTCCTATTACCTGCTTGGTTGGCATTGTATCCACTGCCTTTGATGTTGAAAAGCATTTTCAACAGGTACAGTTACACTGCATTTCTTTTACAGGTACAAATGTGTTTCTCTGCTAAATTTGTGATTGTTTCTCCTACTCATCCTGCCCTTCTTCAAGGTAAGATAATGTATTACCTGTATGAGGTAATGCGCATGGAGGGCCATTTTCTTCTACATAGCATGTAAACGCCAACATTAAATGGTGCAAAATTATTTTTAAATGCTGTCATTAACATAATTGTTCTAAAATCTACTTTGCCCTGGTTTATGTAACTGCAGAAGGCAGAGGAGAACAGTAACTCCTGCTTCCAGTACCTACGCTAAATCTGACTACCTTCAAGACAACCTGTAAAAGCTTTCAAGACTACATGTACCACAGCTGTAAAAATATGCAGGGAACAGGAAGCTTTTCCCAGGCAACTGCAGTGAGCAAGCCATTGACTCCAGCAACATTTGTTTGCTCCATGT